TAGATGCTTTGCCCCTAGTTAGAAGCTTCTTGGAAATGTTGTGTTTTGATCAAATCAAATTTGAGATCTCCTTGATGCTAAGTATTGATTCGTAGACAAAATTGTACATTTTGAAAAAGTAATTCCGTTTGATGCACATGCAAGTTCTTGAAATCAAAATTTATTATTTGAAAAGAAATGGAAGGTTAGAAGATGAATATTCTAAGAAGCGAAGTAGTTAGAAATAATTTTAACAAACATAGGAGTCAGTTTAACATAAATCTTGTTGAGTATGCTTTCATAGTGAACCTAGCCTCAATTAGGACTTTTAAAGGTTGTAACATGGCCATGGTTCGTGGTTTAAGAAACAAAAGATATAAGGCTTAAAACTTATTTTAACCCACCCCATTCTCCTTTATATTCTCCAATCCTAATTTCAATTAATGCAACAGATGCGTTTAATCTCCAAGAGAAATCTCGTAGTCATGCAGATGATGAAAAGCGTTGATAAGATTCAAGCATTGATAAGATCCAAGCATCGATATGATCCAAGCATTGATGAGAAGCATTGATAAAATTAGAGTATTGACGAGAAGCCTTTGATGATTCTTGGAGTGGCATTTGCAAGATCTTTCTCCAATTTATCTGTTTTAAATCCCTTATTTTTGCATGGACTGGTTCTTTTTTTTTTTAATTTTTTTAGTCCATCAGGATGCCCTAATTTTTTCCTAAGTCAAGTTTTTTTTACTTGACTTAGTGGGTTTCATTTTTTTCTCGAAATTCTTTTTGCTTTTTGATTTTGAACACTTGTGACTGCCATACTGATTATTGTAAGCTTCGTCTTTATTGTTTCCTCGATCTTGAATGACGTATTGAGGAAGAATACGTCGTGAACTTTGTCTTTATTGATTGCTTCCTTAATTTTTGCTGATATGTACAAGGAAAATGACGCACTTGAGTCTTTTCTTATATAATTTCCTCAATGATGTATCAAGGAAGGAGATATGCTTGAACATTAGCGTGGATGGACTTAATTCTCTTGAGAATGAAATGCACCATTGAATTAATTGAAAGACTACCCCGCCCCTGGTTGAAATTAAGGTTTAAAATAGAAACAACTCCAACTTTTGGGTCGAGGGGGTTGATTATGGATTAACACCTTATATCTCAATTGTCCGGGAATTGAAATAATGCCTTACGTCGTCAGCTAAGCCTTACTATTAAAAAGCATACATCATCAAAATTTGATTATTTTGTATTTTCATCATTCTCCATCAGAGTTTGTTATTTTGAAAATGGAAAAGAAGAGCAAGAATGGAAAGTCGTTGATTATTCGTGGAATGAATTGATTTCAAAAACATGCATGCTTATTTTATTAAAATTACTTGACCAAAGAGTACATATTTTATAATAAATAACACTTAGCAAGAAAGAAATTACAACTTAAAATGATAAAGCCTAATTATCCTAGAGATAAGCTTCTGTAATGATCCACCAATAAGGGCGAGGATTTTCCATCATATGCGGGCCATCTTCTTCAAAAGTTAATTGGTTATTGTCAATCAGCCCTTGTACCACTTCTTTGAATGAATTGCATTCTTCAATTGAATGCCTCGCTACTCCACCATGAAAACCACATTGAACATTCGAGTTCTACCAAGGAGGAAACGAGGACTTCATGGATTTGTTCTGTCTAGGGGTCATTGATGAATTTTGGACCAAATATGACCATAATTGATTGTATGTCATAGGGATCGGGTCAAACTGGCGAGTTTCCCCTTTTTGGTTGTTCGGACGCTTATGCTGATTCAGGCGTTGATGATGATTGTTTCGATTCCGAACCTATCGATTCTAACGTCGATGTCGAGGCGAAATCTTGGCATGCTGGTTCTGTGGTGCAGGCCATGATTGCTGATTTTGAAGACCGAGGGATGGTTGTTGGCACTGAGCATCCACTGCATATGAATATTGATGATAAGGCACAGGAGACAGGGTTTCGGGAGCATGGTAGGTTTCCCATATTGCATTTTCTTCTTCCTCTTGGAAATCTCTAACGGATTCACTAGTCAAGTCAATCGAGACGCTCTGGATTTTTCCGGTTTTGATGTCATTCTCGATGCATTCCCCAACTATTACTAGGTCAAAAAAGTGTGATGATATACTGCCCAACATTTTTTCATAGCACTACTCTTGTAGAGTACTCATGAACATGTCTATCAACACCTTATCTTATAAAGGCGGTTGTACTCGAGCAGCCAGCTCCCTCCATCTCAGTGCGTATTCTTTGAAGGATTTGTTGCTCCTCTGAGATAAATCTTGCAGTTGCATGTGACTTGGAGCCATGTCAGTGTTGTATTGATAATGCCTATGAAATTCTATAGCCAACTCATTCCATGTGGTAACATGGTGTATTTCCAATTGTGTATACCATTATAATGGTACTTCACTAAGGTTGTCTTGAAAATAGTGGATAAGCAATTTGTCGTCGCGCGGGTATGCTGCCATCTTCCTAACATACATCTTCAAGTGGGTCTTAGGAAAACCGGTCCCTTTGTACTTTTCGAAATCCTTCATTTTAAACTTTGGAGGAAATACCACGTCTTCAACCAAATATAAAGCAGAAACATCAAAGTCATGATATGTCCTTCTATGGCGTTAAGCCTCTTTTCCAGCATGCGGTATATTTTGGTGTCCTCAAGATTTTGGGGTTCTTTAGTATTCATGGTCAGGTTTTCCCCTTGGGGTTTTGGCGTAGGGAATGCAAATTGACGATACTCAATAGATTCATGGGATGAAGTATACCTGTCTCGAAAAATCGTATGTTCTTGCACATCGAGGTTCTCCATGGCAGCTTGTATAGGATGAGGTCGAGCTTGAGTGTTTTCTTGAGGTGAAATGATTTCTTCAATTGTGGCTTGTTGACCTTCTTCCATTTTTGTATCTAGATTTACACTTGCTTCGTGAGCTATCTTGAGTTTGTTTTGTGTATCTAGGAATCACTTTGTTGGACTATGGTTAGAAGTCTTCTATGAGAGGAAGAGATATGAACTTTATGAGATGGATGAAAATGAAAATGTATGAAGATGTTTGGATATGCCAAAATGTTTCATGGATATTTAATGCGACGTAGATATAGTACAATGATAGACGTAAGGGTACCCTATATAGGTTTGATGATGATATCCTACCCTGACTCAGAAATTGAGACAGACAAGGACTCCTTAAGGACGAAGGTGATAATAAACATAAATTTGATGATTTCCTATACCATCTTAGAGATTGAGACAAGTAGGAATACCTTGTGGATTATGGCCAATGAGGAATCCCCACAGGATAGGGATGATGATATAGACGGGAGCCCTACGGGTTATAGATAGCAATGGATAAAGGGATAACCCTTATGGGTTTGCAGATTGTAATGGGATTTGTGAAGGGTATCCTTAGAAAGTAGGTTCTTAGTATTGTCCTACGGATATTATACCCTCTTCATAAGGTGTCTTCCTTAAGGTTATCATGAATGACACTAGAGGGAAAGGCACAAGGGCCTCCCTTAAGCGGGGTCTCTTTACAGACCGAAACATTCATCTCTAGGTCATGAAAGGTCTCATCACGAGATTTTGGTTTAAAGGTCGTACAAAGAGTCATATATATCATTCCAAAGTCCTACTTCCCAAGAGGATGTCTCTCGAGAGGTATTCCTTTTGTGGAATTTCACCGACTCTAGGCGAAGTCGCCACATAAACTCATAGGGTTGATGTAACCCCTTGGCTAATAGACGAACCTTCTTTCTAAGGTTTTTGAGAATGATTTTTTTTGAAAAATTATAAATCCCACCACAGATATACAAATATAATGAATTATAAAAAATAAGCAAGAAAATAAATAATTAAATAGGAAATAATAAAACTCAAAAATAAAGAAAAACCTTAAAACCTAGGATTGAGTCCCCAGCAGAGTCGCCAGTTGTTGCAACTGGTTTTTTTAAAGAGTCGTCACCCTTAATTTTTATCCTAAAGGAAGGGAATATAAATGAATAACCCTAAAGTTCAGAGATTCTAGATTTAGACTCGGTTCAAGACGAGGGGAAGGTGTTAGGCACCCCTTATCTACCTTGTTCACAAGGATACTAAGTTTAGAAGCACTTTTTTTAAGAAAATATGGTTTTAAATATTTTTTAGGAAAAAGGGTTTGAATTTTATTTAGCGGGAAAAGGGTTTTGATTTTAATTAGCGTGGGTTTGTATTTTTTATGGTTTACGCAAATTTTTTAATTTCTCTCGCAATTAACCCGAATGTGTGAATAGTGAAGATTTTGGACTAGTGCGCAGTTAATTAGAATATATTGCGTATTCCTTTTTGAAAATTAATTGTTTGATTTAATTTATTATAAAAATAGTTTGATGTTTGTTTGCATATATTTCTTTTTAGACGTATAGCATAGGAGTCTGATATAGCCCCCTTATCACGTGACCAGGTATTGGTCACATGTCGCTCGCAGATGTAGTAATTTAGCAATAAAATTGATCTTAACTAACCTAATCAAATAGCTAACGAATCATATTGGAATTAGTTTAACTAACATCACTTAGAAACTCGTTTTATTGACTTATCACAATAATTAATTAATTAAGATGATTAATTAAATTAAATATAGTTAGCCTAATTAACCAAATATCAATGAACTTATTAAAATTAGATTAAATGTGAGGGGTGTAAGTAGTAGAGATGGGTGGTGCAATTGAAAGAATGTTAAAGACATGAGCCCAAACCAAACTTTAGTGTTCAAACCCTAATTAACAAAAAGTATTAGTAATAAGAAAAAACGTACAACACATATCTCACCCCTTCAATTTTGTTTGACTTTTCCAACTCTCCCTAACCCATCAGATCGTGACACGTGGCAGTGAAGTTTACAAAAAAAAAATAATGCAATACATGTACCATTAAAGAGAGAACTCTTTTTACTTCTCAGATTCAATTTCCTTTTTCCTTCGCTCGTTCCTCATTTTCACCCTTCATCCTCTATCTTATTCTCAAAACGACACGATTTCCATTTTTGGCGATGGATGCTTTGGCTGGCAGCTTCGATGGGTGCGACGATCGAAGTTTATGGCCAAAGAAATAGCGGCGGTCGGTGGTAGTCGAGAGGATGATGGAGGATTGGAGAGGTTTCGATGAAGGATTGCAGAGACTTCGCGGTGGAGGCTTGTGCGTATTTTGCGCGTGGCCGGCGTTTGTAACAAGCTGCAGTGGAGCCAAGGTTGTTGAGGTTGTTGGAGCGTGACGGCAAGGGTGTTGGTCGCGGGTGGTTGGATGAAGGCAAGCTAGCGGTACCGCGGTGGGAGAACGGCAGTGAGCTGAACTGATGATGTTTGAAGGTAAATGGAAGAATGGAAATTAGATGGTTTTCTGATTCCTCCTTTACTCTTACCCCCCACCCCCTTATAATTTGTGTTCTTATTGTAACCTCTTTGCCACTGTTTTTCGTCCTCCTCTTTTTACAGTAATTGCTTCATTTTATAGCTTCTTAGATTTCATACATTTGGAAAGACCTTAATATTTTGTAAATTAGTTTTGGAAATACTATAATGTGTCTGTAAGTTGGTACAATGCTTTGATTGCAATTCTGATTTTAGTCTTGGCCTATAATAAATCCGGTTTTGTTTCCATTTATGTTATGGGCTGTGATGATTCTGAGTCAATTCTCCTTGATTTGTGCAGTAATGGCTTAAAACAGTAGAGCGTGTGTTTTTGTTTTAATCCACACAGTACTTGTTCCTCTTTTTTTGGAAATAAACTTTTTCAATTGAAACTGGGCTTATTAGTGATGGACCGAAAACAAATTAATTATGTTCTAAAGGAAAGACAATAATGAGATAAATGTAATGTTATGATTTTGAAAAACAGAAAACAAACTAACTAACATTGAATGGGACAAATTATTTCAATTTATTGGGCTAGGTGTTGGGTCATGCGAAAAATGTATTTATCTAAGCTAATGTTCTTTCCTTTTTAGTTAATAATACAAAAACAAAACAACAACAAAAAGTTTTAATAATTTAATCAGTAAAATAATTAATTATAACAAAATGATAATAATATTATATAAAAAAACAAAAACAAAAAACAATCTTTTAAAACCAAATGGGCCAAATTCTCTTCTTTTTTTTAACACTGGATTTAAAAAAAAACATGTCCTATATGGGCCTTATAATTTAAGTGTTTTGGGCTTTAACCAAACAAAATTGTTTACCTCCTTTGGAGTAATGCACCTCCAATTTTTAATTTTAAATGGACTTCTCTTAAAAAAAACTTAATGGGCCATCAGATATTGATGGTCCATTTTAAATAAATATACCCCTCTTTAATATTTTGCACCCCTATAGAAATAGAAACTAAATAATGTGGTTTATTGAATAGAACCCTAAATATAACACGAGGGTAGGCCAAATTTGGGGTCTGACAAAATGCAATGGAGAATTGAGAGAATACAGAGAAGCTTTTTTTTGTTTTAATTTGGTGATTCTTCTCAGAATTGAATAATTAATTTGGTTGTAGAGAGAAGTTATGAGAATTTTCTTGGAGTTTCATAGTGGTGATTCTTCCAATGATTGGAGAATGATTGTGATTACAGAGAAAGAAAGAAGATGAAGTTTTGGATGATTTGCATATAGAAGATGAGAGAGCTTTTTGTGAATCTTCTGGGAAATTGAAGAATGAATGAATCATGTAGTTTTTTCCATTTTATATCAGTTAGTTAGATTGTGAAAGTTAGTTAGGGGTTATCCAGTCTGAGTTGTTGATTTGAAAGTTGGTTAGAAGATTAGATGGCTAGGATTGAAGCTTGAGAAAGCTGAGATTTTGTTATGTGATAATTTTTTATTTCTGATATGAATTGTTTTCCTCAATTCCAATTTCTCTGACTTATTCTTTTTGACATGCTCCTGATTTTTCTAAGTTGGTGTTTTTTATGATGAGCTGCTAAAATGCTTCTTATTTTCTTCTTTTGCATTTTCGTTTTTTCTTTGTATGCATTTTTCTGATATTTCCTTTGGTTTGCACCACTTCTAAAATGGACTTAGTGAATTGATTGCCTCAAGTAAGTGAACAGGTTGGTTTAATGCATGGCTATCCGTAGTGTTTAGAATGATTTGGTGTTTGAAGCACACTATAGGAAATTGAGTGGGTATTGGCATTGGAGCTTACGTTTTGGAAAGCATTATTATGTTGATGAATTGAAAGAGATGGTATCACGGTGAAGCTCTAGAAACATTAGGTTTAATGTAGATTTTTTGGTGTAACCTTGTAATGACAATGGTTTTGGAATGCTTTGTGATATAATGTCTTTAATTTGTAATGAACATGTGGATGCAATATTTTGTTAAATTAAGAATGATGAATCAAGAACTTGGTTTGGACAAACTTTGGACTTTGATGAGTGACTTGAAACTTAAATGAGCTTTAGGATTGATTTATTGAGAATTTAATGGAATTTGAACAAACGAGCTTGACTAGGGTTGAAGCCATAAACGAATAAATGGATCATGAACATGTCTTGACTAAGAATTGAGTGAATTTTGCATGAAATTGGTAGATGAACTTGAATGATTTAATAACATTTGAACCCAAGAGGAATGCCTTTGTACTTTGAATTAATCCATGATAATTTTGAATTCCTTTGAATCAACAACTTTGTGCATCATACAGGAACAAGCACTTGAAACAAACCTAAAAGGCATGCCAAATCTCAACTTCATGTTTAAATACCTTGCGTTACAAACCATGGCTCAATGAATAAGTACCTTTGAACCATACATAAAAAACCCTAATTGAAATGACTAATGAATATATTAATCCACATCCTATCTCTTTTCTCGCGACACTAAACTAAAATCCATACCTTACAGCTCAAGCAACAAGCATATACTGTATTGATGAATAATGAAATATGGATTTCCCATAGATATCACCAGATAAACCATATCTTGACTAAATGATGAACACCATCCAGACTGTTGAAGAAGAGAGGCTCGAGATAGCCATAAGATCAATCCTTAAGCACAATAGATGAAAACCCTGACCATTTGACACATGTAGAAAGAAACCCTACTTCATGACTGGTGAATCCTGATGAAGAACATACTTTGAAGAAGAAAACCTCGATTGGAGCACAATTGTTGAAAAACCCTAACTTTGATCGCATATAGGGAAATAAACCCTAATAGCCTTGCAGCTTGAGAAGAAAAATTCCACGGCTCAATGTACCAAGAAGAAACCAGAGAAATTAGACATCATTTGATATATACTCCTCAATCCACTGTATAACCCTAGCTTGCATGATCAACTGATCTTTTGATCCTCAGGTGCACTATTGAATGAATGTATGTGTGATACGGTGGGAGAACTGACTATGGTTTTGCGTTGGTTTTCGCAAATGTTTCGGTTGAGCAAGAGTCGCCACCGACTTTTTATTTTATCCTAAGGAAAGGTTTAAAAAGCACAGCAAAAACCTTTGAGATTTTTCTTGGGTTCGGGGAGTAGATTATAGAAGGGGAAGGTATTAGCACCCCTTCTATCCATGGTTATCCATGGGCTCTTAGGTACTTGCTTAGATCAACTTGCCTTAGTTTTCAATTGTTTGAAATGGTGCTTTGTGTGTGGTTTTGAAAATGTTTTGAAAAGATGCCTTGTGCTAGGCTAACCTTGTAACAATTCTTTACTCGAATGTTTTACAAAAGGTGTTTTATCTTTTAAAAAGATGTTTCAAGGGTTTGAAAAGTTGATTTTGAAAGTGTTTGTGAAGCGGGTTTTGAAATTAGGCAAGTGTTTTCTTGGCAAATTGACAAGTACTTAAGAGTTTATCTACCCTAAAGTTTTCTCAAAGATTTTGTCATGTTTTAAACCCTTTTGACAAATTTGTTCCACCATTGTATTTGGTGGACAATCTTGTCTTAGGAGATGAGAGGGACAGGCGCGGGTCATCGTTTGGACCATAATTGCAATAGAGTTAAAGGCCTTTGGGCAATTTTCTTTAAGGGACTTGATCATTTGTTTTTGTTTGTTTTGAAAAGTTTTATCGAGGGACTATGATCATTCAATTTGTTTGTTTTGCCCAAAGAAGTTCAACATGCAATATGGCCCATTTATTTGAAGGCAACAAAGTGGAATACCCTAGGGGGTGCAAGTGTGAGATGTGTTGTTTATTTTCATGCTCATTTATCTTGTATTAGGTCAAACTATTTTTTATCGTTTTTCGCATGCAAACCCTAATTCTAACATGGCATAATTAGAAAGCGTATAAAGTGCGAAATTTAAATTCCTACGCTATTACAACATAATAATATAGGGAGGGGGGTACAAATTTACAAATGGGGGATATTTAGACAAGCATTTAAATCTAAATTATTACATCATTTTTGAATATTTGCAAGGTAAATAAATTGCATAATTAAATGGAAATGAAGTAAATATGCAAAATGCAAAAAGAAAGTTTTTATATGTATGAAAAAAAAGTATGGTTTATATAAAATAAAACAAGAAAATAAAAAGGTATTATTTTTGAGTATTTTCAATTTTTAGGGCAAAAACCCTAATTTCAATTAAAATGGATATTAATTACTTAATTCATATAATATTTATTATTTACATACAAAAATAAAATAAAATATAGTACATTTGTAAAAAGGCATTTTTTAGTATTAAATAATAAAATATGTACATTATTGGTATTTTTACTCTAAGTATATTAATATATATATATATGTATACTTATATTATTTTAAATATGTATTATATACAAATAATAATAATATTCAATTTTTTTAGAAAATAGTATTCTTTATATGAAATATTTTCAGAGGGTAATATAAAATAAAAATAAAAATAGAAGTGTTTTTTACATATTTTCCTATTTATCCTAAATAATAATATATATACATATATGTATAAATCAAAAGAAAATCAAATAAATGCCAAATAAAATCAAAAAATGATGAGAAAATTATTTTCAAAATTTTAATATGCTGAGAAAAAATAAACAAGTCAAACAAAAAAAGAAAAAGTCAAAAAGAATTAAAAACAAGGCAAATGGGCTTGGGGGGTGTAATAGCAAAATCAGGGTGCAAAAAGAAATAACAACAAGCCCAGCCCAGAAGCTGTTATCTTCAACCTTCAGACAACCAAATTCAAAAAAACGCGCGCCTGCTTCTCAAGTTCCTAACTCTTGATCCTTTGATTTTTTGAACAAACTTCCAACACAAAAGATGTTAAGCATGAAACCACGATTCCAAATATATAAAAAACATCTCCTAACTCTAAAAAATGAGAGAGAATTTTAGTGATCCCAAATCTTAACCTAAGTTTTCTGCCATTTTCAAAGCTCAAATTCTCTCAACTCAGGCAAAAGAAATGAAATGTAAAGATATGTACATGCTCAGGGCTATGAGTAGAACCTCGTTTCTTCACAAACTTAAGACTGAAGATGCATAATAAGAGAGATACGAGTTCAAAATTTTACCTATTCAGTTGAACTTCTATCTGGAGAATGAGGAACTTTCAGTGCAAGGTAATGATTGGAAAAGCTTCCTTGAGGTCCAGGGATGCTATTCCAATGTTTACTTTGTCTTGAAAGCTTCTGAATCAAGCTATGGCACTTCAACTGCAAAAGGAAAACATGAAAATGGTGGAAACTGTTAGAGGGATTACAGGTCAGGTTTTAGGTCATGGTTAGCTTGCATACATGCTAGGGAATGTGTATGAATTGATTTTGGTAAGAATGCTCGAGGGAAATGGGAGTTTGCACTCAAACTGCAGAGGCAACTCTGTTTTTGCAGTTTGAGGATGATTCTGAGATGGAGGGTATTTTGGAGGCAAATGGCTCGTGTCACAACTTGGTTATGTTGTCTTGAGTGTGTTTGATAAGTTTGTTCTTGTGTGCTAATGCTGGTATGAGAGTTCTTACAAGTTATGGGACTTTCTTCTTTCTTAAGCAACAAAATGCCACTTCATGTTCTAGGCATGTAGGGGGCCTCCTAATATGCTGCATAATCTTCTCTTGATCAGAGCAATTTGTCCATAATCTTGTGCCAAAAGGATTTAGCTTGTACTTGTTGGATTTCTAAATTGACATAAAGTGAACTTTTACCAAAATGGCTAATTCACTTTATCTAAAAATGGATCAATCTTGTGTACAATGCTTGAACTCATGGAACAACACTTTGGCACAATGAACAAGCATTAAATTATGGAGTGTAACTTGGTTTAAGGACCTGTAATCTAGCCTAAAGCATGCTGAGTTCAAATTTGCAAAGTTATGGACATGGAACTTGGTCATGAACAAAGTGGTTTTTTGCTATATTGTGAAATTCGATTCTCTCTAACCATGAGGTTGTTTGAGAAGTTCTTGGACATTTTGGAAAGATTGGAATGTGTACTACAATCCATCTTTGAAATGCAAATTGAAATTCCAAGTGGAAAGGTATTAAAAATGGCCTTGAAGTGGGGTAGAAAACCTTGTCAAAATAGGTTAAAATTCTACTAAGTTAAAAATGGTTTAGTGCCCTTATTCAAAAAATTGTAACTTGAGATACAAGCTTCAAATGAGAAAACTTTGTGAATCAAAGTTGTAGATTATGCAACAAGCTACAACTTTCATGTTTTGACTTTTGTTTGAATCCAAATGGATCTTGGTGAAAAGGTGGGGCAAAGTTGGGAAAAAATTAGGGTTTTTCATAACTTAGAAAAATTCTAAGTTATGAAAAATTCCATTTTCTAACCCTAATTTGCAATTTGTGATTTCTTGGTGAACAAGTTTCATGATTTGGCATGTTTTGATGAAAAATGAATCTTGACCTTTGATTTTGACCAAAAAGTCAAAGTTTGACTTTTCAGTATACAGTCAAAACTGATCAATTGACTGGGAAATTCAACTGTCAATCTTGTGTACTTGGGATCTTTTGAACTTGTTGAGCATGTCAAGATAATTCCATGGGGTCCTTGAGTCCATTTGTGAGCTTGGTTTGCCATTGGCTAGGTCAAACAGTCAAAAATTGCCTCTGTACAGTCAAAACCCTAAAAATGACCATTTTGCCCTTTTAGTGATCTGATCAAATTTCTTGTGGAATTGTGATCCAAACTTGACCAAATGATTCATATGAGTTCATAATGTTGATGTGGATCAAATTTCATGAGATTTGACTGTCAATTGGCCACAGTTGACTTT